TACATGGTAAAAACCATAAGAGGCTGTGTATGATGGCTCATGCCTGTAATCCCAATACTTCGGGAGGCTGAGATGGGAGGACTGCTTGAGCCCAGGAATTTGGGACCAGCCTGGTAAGATAACAAGACCCTGTCTCCACAAAAATTTTTTTAAAAAGCCAGGTTTGGTGGTGCATGCTTGTAGTCCCAGCTACTCGGTAGGCTGAAGTGGAAGGATCGTTTGAGCCCAGGAGTTTGAGGTTATGGTGAACCATAATTGTGCCACTGCACTCCAGTCTGGGCAACTGCACTCTAATCTGGGTAATAGAGTGAGAACTTTGACTAAAAAAACAAGACAAAACAAAACAAGACAAACAAAAAGACTTATGAAAAAAAGACAATAAACTTAGAAAAATATTTTTCACTCTCATCAAAGGGCTGATTTCCCTAAAATCATTCCTACCAATTAGTAAGTAAAATACTAGCAATTCATTAGAAAAATGGGCCCCTAGGCCTGACGTGGTGGCTCACGCCTATAATCCCATCACTTGGGAGGCAGAGGCAAGAGGATTGCCTGAGCTCACAGGTTCAAGACCAAGGCAACTTGGTGAGAACTCATCTCCACAATAAATCAAAGAATTAGCTGGGCATGGTGGCACGCATCTGTAGTTCTAGCTACTGAGGTGGAAGTATTGCCTGAGCCCAGCAGGTCGAGGCTGCAGTGGCAGTGTGCGTGCTACTGCACTCCAGCCTGGGCGACAGAGTAAGACTCCAACTCAGAAAAAAAAGAAAAAAAGAAAAAAAGAAAAATGGGCCCCTGATATAAAAAGACAGCTAACAAAATAGGTATACATTTGGCTCTTAAACATGAAAAGATGCTCAGCATCACTCATAAAAAATAAATGCAGGCAGAGTGTGGTGACTCATGCCTGAAATCCCAATACTTTGGGAGACTGAGGTGGGAGGATGGTTTGAGGCCAGGAGTTCAAAACCAGCCCAGGCAACACAGTGAGACCCTGTGACAATATCTTAATAATTAGCTGTGCATGACGATGCACACCTGTAGTCCCAGCTACTTGGAAGGCTGAGACAAGAGGATCATTTGAGCCCAGGAGTTTGAGGCTGCAGTGAGTATGGAATGCAACATAGCTCTCCACCCTGGGCAAAAGAGTGAGACCCTGTCTCTATTTAAAAAGAAAAAAAGGGGGAGGGGGGTAGACAGAGGGGAAGAAAGAGAGAAATGCAAAGTAGAACAGTAGTGAGGTATCTTTTTTACAATCAGATTAAAACAGATGCTAACATGTTGTTGCTCAGAATGTAGGGAAACATATTCTCCCACATCTCTGGTAAAAAGGCAAACTGGTACAACCTCTACAGAGAGTAATT